ACCCGAAGGCGCTCCCTATCAGTAACTTCCGACACTCATAACTCAGTGACCTCTAATCCGTTTCACAAGTTCTTGGGCTCGTTAGAACCAACTCGTCAAGCTCTTTTCAATAAGACCCTAAGTAGTTCAAGGCGTTACGAATTGAGAAAGTTATGAGTGATCTACCGCCGAAGGTGCTCGAAGCGGGTCCTGTAGCATGAACCGCCCGTTCCATCCCAAGCGTTCGACTGTGGCCTAAGCCCAAAACCCCTTGACTGTCCTCGATACTCTTTTTACTCTGGTTTTGCGTACTGATTACTATTTACAGCTGCTACTGCGGTACTTACTATTCAAAAATGTTTTAGTTCCGACGAAAAACAAAAAGTGGGTTACCACAAGTTGCAATTGATAAAAAAATTTAAGTGCTTATGGAGTCATATGTGAACGTTATAAATTCAGAACCGACACTAGAGACACGAGTCACATAGACACCATAGACAAGAGAGTATAACGTGGTTCATCCTCAAGGGCTACGTTCATGGAGAGAAGAGCACTATAGAATTTACTGCTTGAATGCTTGAAGAAGTGATCTTCTTCTGATCACCTTCAGGCTATATATACCCTAGATAATCAACTACTCTAAGCTATAAATAGCTGCATATGCGGTTAACTTTAGTTAACTAACCTCAGTTAACTCCTTAACTAGAGTTAACTTCAACATCATAAACTATTTACCATCAAGCAATGATCCAGATATATATTATTAAACACTAATGAAATTAAAAAAATCTTTGATGAAGAAAAAATTATGAATCATAACAAAGACCAACATCCAGAGCTGGAGACAATTTTTCTAATATTAAATTAATTTTCCAAAAATGTGCGTTAATTGTAAATTGACTCCAGAAGTAACGGACAATTTTGACTATTATCATTTTCATGCATGCAAAGATCTTATTGTCAAATGTGGCCAAATTTGACTGAAATCACAAGAAGTACGTTTAATGTTGTAATAACATTTCAAAAACATGGATGTAATAAAATATAAAGATTGTGATGAAATATTTTTAGAACTGTTATTCAAAAACAGTTTTTTGTTTCTCTATAGTTTTCTTTATAAAATTATATTTCAATATATAGCAGAATAATAAGTGATCCTCAGCAAAATTTATAAAATTACTTCAAATTTTATAATACAAACTACATTATATGCCAAAATTTCAAAATATAAACATGTTAAATAAATTTTTTTACATGGATCTTACATGAAATTACATAGAGTTATTACAAAATAATACAAATGATGAATGATAAAATACTTTTTATAAAAGTGTACAACATCTGAATATTAAAGAAAATCAAAGAATTTTTCATGACTCCAAAGCTTTCATTATAAATTACAAATAGATTGGTTATCTAGCTAAAGTCTTATTATCTATGCTAGACAAAGTTACTAAATGGAATTAAGAAATAGCTATAAAATCAAATTCTCAATTAAGTCACGAAAATCTATACTCAAGTATTATGATTCTAATTGATTCATTTAGTTGGCTACTGACGTATCGATAACAAATGAAACTCAGTCGTTGTTTTTTAGAAGTAATGGCAGTTGAACAAAATTTTCAAACAACAAAATTAGGAAAAATAACCATTTTACTGACAAAAAAAATTTTGAAAGTATTTTTTGGATAACAAGAAATTTGTGATGAAAATTGATTTGATGAAAATTGATGTTAAATCATGATTTTTTGAATTTTTTTAAAAATTAGAAGTATCTATTCAAAAAAATAATCTGATGAACAGAATAACATCTTTGCTTGATCATGAAAAGAATAAAAAATATTACAAATTTTATACAAAAATGCCATGTCCTAATTTTTTCAGAAAAAATAATTCACGTCCATTTGATAGCAAGATGATTCATATATTTTTAAAAAATTATAGAGAAATTATGAAAGCACTACAAAATAGCAACACAAAGACAGTTGAATGTGACGATTCATAAACAATGCCACAAAAATTTATCATGATGTTGCCAAAAATCATGAAACAGCAATTAAAGATCATGTGGGATTATAAATATTGGATAACTTAAAACACATATTATTGACTCAAGATTGAAAAAGATGTGAAAAATTATAATTGAATATATATAGCTTTTCAACAAAACAAGGTAGATAAAAAAAATTAAGACGGTTTATTATCATCTCTTCCAATGTAAGAACAAAAATGAAAACACTTCATTATTTTTCTTGGTTGTAATATTTCAAAAAATTTGTTAGAAATTGATTTTGCTATATTAATGTGCGCAAAATAAATAAGATGAAGGACATCACTTCAAACAAAAAAACAGAAACATTCCAAATATATGTTCAATTATGATCAGATTTAATTTTTGCAAATCATGGCTTTAATCATTAGTTTATTTCAATTACAATTAAACATATTTTTTAAAATTTAATTTTTTTGTGTTTGATCTGATATTTTTCATCTTACTTTATATGTAATATTTATTAGATAACCTCATCAAATTTAATGCTAACATTACAACATTATCTTATAGCTTTAAAAAATAATGATATATTCATTGCACTAGTTTTTTTTTTTTTAGATAACATCAATGATCTATCATTTTTAATTTGATTTCCAAACATATACTTAAAAGAATTGTAGGATAAATGATATATGAATCGAAGAAGAAACAAGAATGAGACATTTGTTTGAATTTTGTGAATTTTGTACATAAAAGTCTTGTTAATTCATCCACAAAAATATTTTTAATTAATTTTATGTACAGTGTTACTAAGATTAGTCCATCATATTTAATAAGATCATTCTAAGATTGTGTGAAATACATTTGGAAAAGATACATGAAAACATTTAGAAGTTGATGATCGTTTAAAATTAGTTGAAATAATATACAAATGCTCATTGTTGAAAGTTGATTTTTTTAATCAATAAATCATATTAATTATTGATCATAAATGTTTTTTTAAGAATCACTTAAGTTTAATCTAAGATTCATAGGTATTTTGAAAATATCATACATATTTATGTATAAACTTTTGTTAAAGTATTTAGTTATGTATAAAATTATACAAGTTAAAATCACATATGCATTTTTATGTCATAATTTTAAACACATGCACCACAATCAAATCAATTGATCAGTCTATTAATCTTGAAAGTTGAGATAAACAAGATAATTAAAAAAATTATTTGACTTCACAAATATTCCAAATTAGAATTTTGAATATAATGAAAAGTTTATTCATCATATGAATTAACCAAAAATCTAGATAGAAACGTAATTAATGCAAATTTGATGGTTTAAAACTTTTGAACATACATACAATATTTATGTTGCACATATATTCATCTTAAAAGAATGAAAATTTGTAATCATCTTTAGTTAGTGAAAATGAGTGAAGAGTTAATGCAAGATGAAGATACAATTTATTAATTTTTTTTCCATGTCAACGATATTTCTCCTTGATAGATGAAGAGAAAATGTGTTTGTTAACAGCTCTCTTTATATCAGTGTTTGTTTGATTAAAATTGCATGAGTTGATTAATAACGACAAGTTAATACTTTGTATGCTGGTTAGATATGTTTACCATGTAATCAATCCTATGAATGATTGAATGGGAGTTTATCGTTTTGTACATGTTCGAAATATGTATATAAAAAATATTAAATTTATTCTAGATATCCTTCATTTCAGGATTCATGTTTTATCTTTGAGTAATTTTTTTTATATAGTTTGATACTAAACCTAAATTCATAAATAAAAAAAAAGGATAAGGAAAATTTTGAAAATAAATACTCACACAAAAAATTTAAAACAGTATTTTACATCCAAATGTCTCTAAATATTTTAAATTAATTTTATGTACATGCGACATTGTTCAACATTATTTAAATTTTAATTCAAATGTAATATTACAAACAATACTCTAGCACTGCAGATTCCAATTGTTTATCACTATATAATAATCCTGATATCAAAATGTATAAATTTTTTTTTTAATCCTAAAATACTTTTAGTTTTCAATTCAGAAAATTAAATTCTAATCTACCCTAGTTCCAGTCTAACGTTTAATCCCGATCTATTGAGATTTACATGATTCATTGAAATCGCTGATTGATTTTTAACAATCATGGATGGAACAACACTGCACACTTGTAACACAAGCAGTTTGGAAAAAGCCTTTCTTTTTGTCAAATGAATTGTGAGCTCAATACATGAAATTCATGCATCAGGCACCATTCTAGGCTTCTTCAGCCTTGGAGTCGTCAGGTCTGCCCCGAGTATTCCAACACTTTGTAAATTTTACACCAGTATTTATAAGACATTATGAAATCCCGGCAATAATCGCGAATCCTCCAGTGGCTTCCAGATTGGCTTTTGTGGTTACAGAGCGACTCACCTCCTCAGCATTTCGTAAGAAGATTTGCTTCTGCTCAGGGTTAACATCAGGTTGCTGGCTAAGCAGTTTAAAAGTGAATGGCAAAAGAACATACCGAATGGACAGATAACTTGATGGTTGTAGAAGATAAACAGGTGAACATATTTTGGGCTTCAAAATATGAATCTTATGACTTAGGAATATTAAAATGACATGACACCTACAGTATATTAGTGGGATCCGGTTTCATCTTCAACTGTGAGTCAATAAGTTTCTAGAAGAAGAGTCTGAATGGAAAAGATGTAACGCTAAGCACTAATAAAATTCACAACTGGTGGAAGGGGATTTGACAATCGTCCTATTCTCAAACAGAAATTACGTACTGATCGAGTAGAATATGCCCCTCATTGAAGGAATATTCTCCAGTTGAAGCATAGTCTCCTTCAGTAGTCAAGTCATTTTGAAATTCCTCACCTGGATGCATGTGAAAGGGATGTAAAAGTCACGTTGTCATTCAATTTTTTCACCTAAACATCAGTCAAAACCCAACAACATGTGGACTATGCAAAGTATATAAAGCTTTCTGGCGTCGAGTAATGAGATGATTATAGGTCTTCACTGGAATCAGATAGTCTGTAATTTGTTGCTGCACGCTTCGCTGATGTCTTACTTAAGAATGAGTTGGCTTCTTGTATTCTTGGTTTTTCACCAGATTCAGAATCACATCATAAGTTCTGATGGCATGGGGAGATACTTCACAGCGAGTGCGTTCAGCATGGGGGAAAACATTGGTTCAGACACGGAGGATTTTGATCATGAAGGTCGAATGCTGGAGAGTGCGGAGATCCGGGCCTGGATGAAGAACGAAATAAAAGCTGATCATGTGGAGGTCCGATGTCAAGCTTTGAAGAAAGGCGTTTTGGTCAAGGATTTCGAGTACGTGACATTGAAGCCCGATGAAGAGCACCTCTGGAGTGCAGAGCAGATAGACCTTTCACCTGATCGGATAATCTGCATAATTTTCTGGAAAGTAAGCTATCTGATACATGATATTTACTTTGCAGACCACAATGATCCCATACTCACGAACTGGGACATTGATGAATCTGGCCTGAACCGATTTTACGATGGTTCTGGATCAGTTTTGGTCCAGACGTGGCGTGAGCAGAAGCCTCCTATGTAGACATACTTCTTCCAGTTCTCGTGTGTGACACAATCAGACATGTCTAAGGTCTGTGGCAACTCCAGATTGAGAGTGCTGATACCACCAGGGGTGACGAATGTGCACAGTTTACTTTAATACCTCAGTTTGAGCTGTGACTACGAGTGATATTTTCAGTTCTGAAAGTGTCTATGCTCTACTTATTATAGCCGTCTTCTGTTCTTTCTCTTGGAGCAACGATTTAATTTAATGAAAGCCGACCGTATCACTTTATATTTCACATATGTAACATCACCAGAGATAGCAAAAAACATGCGAATTCTTGATAAGCAAAACTTAAAAAAAGAAGTAACATATGTGCAACTTCTGCCACGATTCGGACATTAGAGGTAGAACCTCGGTTATGTCATTGTTTGCCTTGACCTTTAAGTCGAGAAGATATTACCTCATCTGTAATCAACAGCGAGGTGATCAGAAGAGTGCTTTTAATGGTAAGTCTATGGTGATATTGTGGATCTTAGAACTAATGACTACCAATGGTTCCTTCGCTACACGTTAGGAAATTATGTATTGAATTGAGTACTTTAAATATCATACTTGCATTATTTACCACGTGAATTTGTTTTAAGTGATAGTCTGATGAAAGTATAGCTCTTATAGTTGATGTCTTTAAGAACATCTATGATAACCCTGTCCTTACATCTGCATGTTTTATACATCAAAGATGTGGTTGGCGGAATAGTGAATTATCATCTGAGAGATTATTTTTCTTTATTTTCTTTTGGAATCTAGTTAATTTCAAGCCTGTTTTGTAGCTTAGTCCATGACGTTTCGCTGTCATGAGTGGGAACGTTTACATGTATGATCAGAGAACGTTGAATGTCATCTCTAGCCAATAAACTTTTGTGATTGAAACGACCGTCTCTTTTGAGGATATTGAATTTCCTTATGCAAATTTACTCAATAAATGGAAGAGAACACAATAAAACAGGGTGATTCGACCCAGATCTTCATCGAGGTATACCCAATGTATACCTCTCTTCTGGTGGGGAGAATGAAAGAAAGAAAAACTTGTATGATGGAGCTCAAAATCTGAACTAATATCCTTAATTTATACCCCTACTCAAATTGCACCTTCATACACCTATTCATAGTTCGAGTCATAAATGTATACATAGTACTGAGAAAAAAAAACTGACCCCACAAACATTCTAAACATCACGAAGGAATTAAATAGAATGTAATGTTTTTTACAGCCGACTTGATGGCAATCCTCTCATTCCATCACTGCATTCAGTAATGCCTAATGCAAGTTGGCTTAAAACCCCCTGCCAAAATTTTGTTCCGAAGTCTAGATATGTGTAAACATTTATATGAGAACTAACAAATGGAAGTCAGTTGATACATAAGACTGTTATGTGAAGAAACAAGAATATTAGTGAGGGTATACTCCGATATTGAAATTTATAAACAAGAACAATACTAGTCATAAGTTTATATATGATATACTAAAGACTACCTTCCATAAAAAATGACACACTTTAAAGCGAGGGTTCCACTTAAACTACATATGCTTCATGCTCATATGTGACTTATTAACAGGCCTCTCTAAATACGGAAATCCTTTAATGGAGTTCCATATATTCCGTATTTGATTTTCACAAAGTTTCGTATTTCCAAAAGCAAATATTTTCTTCAAATCTATGTGGCATAACTAGAGTGATAAAATTTTGACATTCTAGTTCCGTCACATTGTTCATCTCGTTTAGAAGCTCTTAAATAGTTGTTTTGTCTTTGCCGGAACTTGCACCATTATTTAATTTTACTACAATTTTGGTCATTTGTTCCCTTGATTTCATTTTCCCTGTTACAATGTGGTCTCTGCATTGGAAGTTGCGATACTGAACCCTACAAAGTGGTTGCTATTAGTTGTTGATGCTATGTATGTTTTGGAGGTGAAAAACCTGTTAAAATTGATTGGATTAATTGAAGATCAGGGTCTATTTGCTACCCAATGTTGGCAAAACTAGACTAGGTCTAGTTTTGCAAGACTTGTTTTGCAATTTTCTTTTGAAAGCAATTTGCAATCTAAGCAAGGTGGAAGCCTCCGAGGATTTGCAACTTCAAAGATTAGGTTCTTTTTCTTCACCACAAGCAAATAATACAGATTATCCCGCATATGCAATTCTATGAACTTCATAAAGTATTAAGAACTGCAGAGCACACTGGTTAATCTTCCGTTTTCAAAATCTTCAGCATCATCATTCATGATCATCCTTGTTCTTTTTCCGATCCACTTAAGAAGCCCTCGTAAATTTCCCTCCCATATTGCTCCAACGAGTCGATGGATTTTGTAGTGTGGTGACTGCTGTCTCCATCTAAGGCGATGCATTACTGTGAGCATGCGAGTACAACTTTATGTGATTGGGTCTTTCCGAATAACAAGATAACTCATCAACATTGTTGTTTTGTTGCTGTTATAGGACATGCTATCGGGGAACACTTGAAGTCAAGAATTTACATAAAGTGTGTGCGTAAAAAATTCAATACGTATATTTTGGAAAGATCGATAACTATTGGAATAATTAGATTCCAAAAAAATAATATACAAAGTTTCTTTCATACATTCTCGTTTTAGTTTAAACTGATGTTGCTTCCAAATCCATTTCAGAGTTTATACAAAAGTTATAAGGTCTTAATATTTTAAATTTGTTTATTGATCGATTAGAAATTGTATTCTAAAGCAATTATGTACAAACTTGAGTAGTTGTTCATAGTATGATTTTCAAAGTAATTGATTCATTTGATATAAAAAATTAGATTTTTATTCCTAAAAAAATACCCTCAAAAAATTCTAATGGTTGGTAATATAATTTCTAGGTTTTCTTTATCGTAAAGATAAAGAAACTTCTTTCAATATCCTCAGCCACATCAATCGGTTTTTTTATCATGTGTAGCCATATTTGTTGTAATTTTGTTATCTTGCAAATAAATTTCTACCCACTTACTTGAATTTCTACATTCAAATCACCAAAAGGTATTTGATTACAAGAACATAGTATTGAATTGCTTATCTCCCTGCAGTAGCGAAATTTCTCATCTCCTGAAAGTTGGGCAGAATAATTGAGAACAATTCATTTACCTTATCAATTTGTTGGGAGCAAAGAAACCTTGTAATGAAAAGTCCAAATGAACTGTTTTCATTTAAAGAATCATGTCTAAAAGGTAAAAGTTTTTGAAAAGAATAATTCATTCTTCACTATTTGGTAGAAACATTAATTACATCTATATCATGTAGCCAAAAATTTACATAATCACAATTATCAACGCCTGCAATAATTTGAAATAAATTTTTCTAATTAGAAGTACTTAGAAGTGATAATAGAGAAAATTAGAATCAACATACAAAATAAATTGATCTAAAATTTTTTAATTACCTTATTCTAAAAGTATATAAATAAAAATACCAAAATAATTCATTTTTATCTTAAAACTACTCAAGAAAATGTTTAGAATAACAAAATTTATGTTAAATGAAATACTGACAAGAATCTATCACTTAACATATTTACTATCCATTTACCAAGCATATAGATTGCTAACACGACAACTATGAATAATTCTTTATAACACAGATATATCTTTACTTGACTGAATTTTTTGTAAATTTTAACTAACGAAAGATGAATTTAAATCTTTTGTTTGTAAGATACAATGTTCATGTTGCACATGCGTTCAAAATTCTTAACAATCAAAGATATATTAGTTTTAAATCTAATCGGTTTTCAAGTTGATTTATATGATAAAAATAATCTTTATTGAATCAAATATTATATTTTGAGACATTGATAGCTTTGAATATAATTCTTGAACATATTTTTCAATTCAAATCTTTTGTGATTTTCTATCAAGATTAAAAGAGTATATGGTGTTGGTTGATTGCAAAATTATTGTGGTTGTGATACATGTCCTTTATTGTCACAAATGTTTCAATAAATATAATATTAAACTTTGATGTTCATATTAGAGACAAAATCATTGTAAATAACCAATCATGATTTGTTTTTCTTTACAATTTGAAAAATTATGTTGTTTTGTTAATTTTGAAGAATCACAAACTTCTGTCTTGATTGACAGCATTTTGTGAATATGCTTCACAAAATTATTAAATGCAATTATTTTGGTAAAATATATTAGTCTTTCAAAAATTTTGTCAAATTTGATGGAGTATGGGATGAACATTTCACATGGGAATAAATGAAAACATCTTTGTGTTAGCATTAACATAATTGTTATATGAAAATTTGTAAAAAGCCAAATAAATAATTTTATCTTGTTAATTTTTTAATGTAAATGCATGTACTCTGCATTTTTATGATATTTTTGTTTTATTATCAATTTAAGGATGATTGACTTTGGACATCGCTAATGTTGTTTAAAAATATAAACATAATTTTCCAGAACAAAGAAATGAAATAACTATCTTTATTAATTATTAAGATTTTGCTTTATTCATGATGCATAAAAAAATGCATCTAAATAAAATTGATCAAGTTGTGAAATTGTCACTACTTTTGTGGTTGGTTTCATATGAATCATCTTGTTCAATTTGTACACAAAAATCATTATTCATTATTGATTGATAATTTTGATTTCATTTATTTGATAACCCATATACAAAACCCATAATGATATGTTTCTATCTTCATTATGAAACAAAATATTGTAATAAACCAGCTGATTTTTTATTTTGTGATATTTTTCTACAAGTTATGCAATTTAGAATATAAGACTAGACAAAATATTGTAATTTGAGCTGAATATACAAGCTTTATATGTAATTCAAGTTTTTCTTAATTATCAAATGATTTGCAATGAGTCTAAGATGGTTTTCTTAGTAAAAAAATTATGCAGAATTCTTTATTTTTTGAAATTCATTAACGTTGCTTGTGCTAAATTTCAATAATTTTCTGCGTTCTAGTTTGTAATGATCTCATGATCTATTCATATTTTTTTCCATCATGTGTCGTCTTGCTTTACAAAGCGAAGGATTCAAATGAAATGAGCAAAAAAGTATATTTGAAAATATTATATACTTTGTATATCGAGTGGTATTGTCTGATATCTTACAAGTCATTTGGTACATTCTCGCGAGTTATATTTCATATATAATTCATGTCTAGGTTACAAATGATTACAAATAAGATCAGGTCATGAAACAGATTTTTTAATATAAATCAACTTTCATTCTATAAT